TGATTTCACTTGACCACGAAGCGTTCTTGACGTTTTTTTCGGTTTGTGGGCGTTTAAAAACAGCCACCTCGCGTTCTGAATAATCTAACTGTACCATTACGCGAATTCGTGTTGCGGCTCTTAACTGTTTTCAACCACAACGCGTTCTAAAAATATCAAATATGTAGAACCCATTGTGACTAGTTTTTCCAATAGCTACGACGTGATTATTAAACATTCTGGGTAGTTTTTGTGAAACGGGAGGAAACTTTATTAGCTTAGGAACCACAACTTACAGAGAGCTACATACGATTTTTTGATACTATCTCTTCCTTGCGTAAGTGTTCTTTATTTATTTTTGCAAGAGCTGTTGGAGTGGCATTTTGAGTTACATTTCACGTCTTTGGATTTGCACTTGCACTTTTTGTCGCTGCAGCATCGCTTGCAATTGCAGCTGACAAACCCCTGTGTGCTTCCCGACGATTTCCCACAATGGGTTCTGAATATTTACTATTTTTTAGAACGTGATGTGGACGTTGTGGTTGAAAACAGTTAACAGCCACAACGCGAATTCTCGTAATGGTACAGTTAGATTGTTCAGAACGCGTAGTGGCTATTTTGAAACGCCCACAAAGCGAAAGAAACCTAATGAACGCTACGTGGTCAATTGGCATTACCCAAAACGCGTTGTGGCGGTTTTTTTCGCTCAATGGCCGTTTTCGGTCTTTGCGCCTAACATATGCACCGTTTCGGCTTGAACCGAACAAATTGTCTGAGCCTCTGAAGGGGTAACCTCTAGCAGCAAGGTATTTAATGGTCGCAATAACACGTTTTAAAACTTCACGCCAATACTTTCCATCAGATTCACAAGCTTCGACAAGTTTTTTGTCAATGCGGTTTTCTACTTTTGCCCTACTAATATAAGACAAAACCGAACTTCGGTGGGCAGGGGAGTTTTCATGCGACTGTAGTGCGGCTACGGCATTTTTCCAATTGTTAAAACCTTCACAAAAAGAGGATCCAGATACAGCGTCTTTCCCAAAAAGTCTGCAGTAAGCACAAAAAACGGATGCCTTTGAAGGAGAGTAAGCAAGCCAATCACGCTTTTTTATTTCACCATTAAGGCGTTTTTCAAAATAGCCCTTAGTGCACCACCTTTTTTTTACTCCGTAAATCCGCTCGGAAGTAGAGAAATCAGCTTCAACATTTTGTTTGAACCCATTTTTAACTACGTGTTCTCGAGTTTTGTCGTCTATGTTCCACAAAGCAGGGTCATCAGATATATTTTGTTCTGTTTGGGACTCTGGCTCTGAATTTTCGGGTGGACTTGGCAAGTTATCTGAATTGGTAACATTGGTACCTTCATCTCCAATTACATAATCCAGGTTCTGACTTTCCGATGCCGATACGTTACTTTGACTAGCAACTGGACACGGTTGTTTATCTCTGGGCAGAAAAAAACCACTAATTTTTGGAACTTTAGATAAAAACTGCTCATTCTTTTCTTCTCTATCTTTAGCTCTCTTTCTAAATTCAGCACCACTTAGTTTTTTAGACATTGTTGTTTTTGTTCTTATGTTAAGTGTCAATGAGTAAAGAAATTGGCCGACGAGCGCCCGACAACAACAAAGTAACAGGTACAACTGGTGCAAGCTATTGCCTCGGAGCAAAGCGCCCCGCTGGACGAGTTCAATTATTCGCTAAAAGGGGAGTATGTTTGCATATGACCCTTGGCCGCCGGTGCCCGCAACGTAGCAGGAAGATGGTCTGCATGACCACGAGGATTGCGTTGCGCCCTATTACGCTTACGAATAAGTCAACGATTACGGACACGATAAGCGACGCTAGCAAATTGAACTTTACCTAAAGCGCATTCTTTCTTTTGTACCCCTTCCAATTTAGCGCCCCCTAACAATTTGCGCCCTAGGCCTGGGCCTAGTTGGCCTAATGGGAAATGCGGTACTTAGCTACGAGAAGGCTGCTTTAATACTACAGCAACAAATATAATCCTAGAGACGATGTATTCCAATTTCTGCTCCATCGAGAAGGCTTTCAATTTACTACTGCAACAAATGACTCTGTCAGCTTGTGTTCAGGACAGGGATTGAACTAAGTAAATTCCTGGTATAACTGCTCATGAGACACAGAGTCCGATACATAATCCAAGTGACAGTCTTAGTAATGTACTATATAAATTGAAAATTGTAGACGATATATTCCACTTTCTGCTCCTTTGAGAAGGCTCTTAATTTACTACAGCAACAAATAGAATACGAGAGACTATGTATTCCAATTTCTGCTCCATCGAGAAGGCTTTCAATTTACTACAGCAACAAATGACTCTGTCAGCTTGTGTTCAGACCAGGGATCGAACTGAGTAAATTCCTGGCTTAACTGCTCATGAGACACATAGTCCGTTACATAATCCGAGAGGCAGTCTTAGTAATGTACTATATAAATTGAAAATTGTAGACGATATATTCCACTTTCTGCTCCTACGAGAAGGCTCTTAATTTACTACAGCAACAAATATAATCCTAGAGACGATGCATTCCAATTTCTGCTCCATCGAGAAGGCTTTCAATTTACTACTGCATCAAGTGAATTTATTATTACCCCCAAGAGATATTAATTTTAATAATTCTGGAGAGCTGGAATCTGAGCCCCCCAGAATCTTTATAAAATCCTTAATTAATTTTTGAGTATATTCTAATCTTGTCCAATTTCGTAACCTTTTTCCACCATCTTTACATAATTTAGTAGCATTAATATAACCATTTGTACATACAACTCCTTTCATATAAGTTTAAGTAACTAAAACTAATATCTATAAAATAACTATTATCAAACAACTTAATATCTATATGGTCCTTAACTTTATTTAAACTACCTATTAGAATGTCTACAAGTTCTTAACTAGAAATTATATAACTATTTATCTCTCTCACTCGTCTAACTAACTCTGCGTCCGCTTCTTTTTCAAGCTGTAGTAGGTCTCTATCGATATCATCTAGTTGCTTCTTTTTCCACGACAATTCCGTTTGGATATCGATTGGTAAATTAATCCATTCAGAAGGTCTCCGCAGTATTTTTAGGGTATTTTTGCAAATTTATTTGTAAAAAGGTAGCTCTTAATCTCACTTTGGCTGGCTGGCAGTAGTCCGTAAAACAATGCTTGTAGAAATTTGGTCCAATTGTTTTCAAGTTAGTGTGGTCGGAAAGATCTTGTAAACACGCACTCCTCCTGCGTGGCGAAATTTTGTCTTTTTCCCTACGGGCGAAATTAACCACCTTTTGCAAGGCTCGCGTCTTCGAGGGGACGAGAAGTATCCAAAAATGGAGTACTAAAGGGTTTTTTAACAAGAACTTTGTTTTCTAAAACAAAAAATTAGATGAAGATGATTAAAATTTTTATTGAATTACAAAGAGAAAAGTTGGGCAATTATGAATGAAAAATGATATCTGGCAAATGTCCACCACGAGCACGCTGACAGATGTCGATTCATTCATCAAAGCTTTTAATCACTTTTTGGGAAAATGACGGGTCTATTTCGTTAATCACATCACGGATTTTGAGTTTTAAGGCTGCAATCGATTCGATTGGCTCCGTATAGACTCTGTCCTTAACATAGCCCCACAAAAAATAATCCAGTGGTGTTAAATCACACGATCTGGCTGGCCACTTAACAGCTGAGTTTCGTGAAATTATGCGATCAGGAAATTTGGTTTGCAATAAATTGATGGTTTCATTGGCCGTGTGACATGTGGTACCATCCTGTTGAAACGTTGCCGACCTAAAAAAGACATAATGCGCATCAGCCGAAACAGGGTATGTGCAAGTTACCCCATTTTACGGTATATATCTTGATAAAGGTCAGAAACTAACTACAAACTTCGTCTGTAATTAAACGAGGCTGTGTTTTCCATCGCTAGACCTAAGTGCATTTTTTATGTGACGGATCAATAAGCTTGCGAAGTAAGCAATGCCGGAATGACTCGAACATGTGATGAAAATACACGTGGCTACCAAACATGCATGAAATTTACTGCTTGGGCATTGAGAAGGATTTCGATCAAAATTCCACGTGGTCGGTAGGTTACAGATTAATCGAAAACCCGATGGCTTTATACAATGCGCTCGAATGAACGACCGACTATTAGTGAAACTATAAGCTTCTGTATTCTGGCAAAAATGCAGTAAAAAGCTTATTCTCGCCTATTTAATGACATTCGGAAGTATCGATAAGTATATGATCCTTTTTCGCGAAGATTCTACTGGTCTAATACGTGTTTGGAGCAAATTTGTTCAACATTGAAAAATTGATTATCTATGGAGTATATCTATATCGTCCTTTACTTTATTAAGGATCCTCAGATCCTTTATAGTTTTGTATTGTCGTCCGTCCGTCCGTCCGTGTGCGCTCTAACTCTTTTTAAAAGTGGCCGACTGTGTTGAAATTTGGTGTATGGGTACTTTGGATTTTAAGGACGGACGCTATTGATTTTCAGTACGCTGGTTCAACAGGAACAAAAGTTATAGGGCTTCCAGTGAATCGGGAACAGGAAAAACTGCGGGCTCAATATAATAGAAATTAACATATTTCATTCCCTAGGTCATGTATCGAGTTCGGACTTTCGCTAGATTATTCCCTATGGCTTTTAGATGTGTAATAATTCAATATAACTCATCTCTGTGGTACAGGTCGAAAGTCTTAGGGCAAAATGCACCCAACATTATTATTTACACATGAATTGGGAATTTTAAAAGCTTTCTAACGCATTATCTTGATGCTGAAAGAGTGCATCACGTCGTGCACATTTGATAACCGCATATGTGAGATTCAAAGATGTTAAATGATCTTTCGGAGTCCACATGGATTTTGATCAAAATACGTCAAAATCGTTATTTATGCACCAAGATAGTTGGGAAAAAGACCAAGAGCATTATCTCATTGACCAAAACATGAATTTTGATCTATTTTTGGCAACCACATGGATTTTGATCAAAACATGTCAAAATCGTTTTTCTTGCACTGATATCGTTGGGAACAAGATTAAAAGCATTATCTCAATGACCAAGACATGAATTTGATGCATTTTTGTTAACTATGTGAGCAACCCTGGGTACGTTCCGGCTTTTGCCCACAGCCTCGGGTAGCGTCGGGAAATAATTGGCGAGCAAAGAAAAGTAAAAGTGTATTGTCTAAATAAAAATAAAAAAATATATATATACAAAATAAAATAATATAAAAGATTTCCGGAGCAGTCCTCGTATTTACTTGGGGAGTACTGCCCTCTGCCGGTAGCTATCTGGCCCCAGCGTGTCAGCTGGTTTGCTGTCAATGCCGTTTTCGTGTCGGACTATTAGTAGGTTAATTTCCACGTGCAGTGCTGTCTAGAATGTAACAAATTAATTGATGCGGGATTGTGGGCTGCGCCACCCGAACGAGGTAACCAACAGAACCTGCGGGGTGAGTGTTCGAACTGTAACAACTAACCTTTCCCGTGACGGCTTTCAGCCCCTTATGGTTAACGTAGGCGGGCGGGAGCACTGTGCCCCAGGTTCAGGCAGGACGGGGCGACGGGAAGATACTACGGAGGTGTACTTCGTTTAAAACCAGGAGTCACGCTCCGATTTTTGTTTTGAAGACACGGACAGGTAGGAACGTACGGAGAGTAGCTGGTAATATTGAGGAATACTTGTTGTAGTAACCCGTTCGCTAGGGAGTACACCTAGGAACTGGAATTACTCGGGGAATTGGGAACTGGTCAGAGTAATAAAGGTAACAGCTTGCACGTTTTTTAATAAAGGGTTGAAAGATTGTTGTTTTAATGACACTATAAACACCCTCACTCACCTCGAAGGCTACTTACGATTTACCCCCTAGGGCTAACGGCAACACACTCAACACAGGGAACGACAGGGGTGCAGGTTAACAAAGGTTTTACAGGTACTGGAACGACGGTTAAGGGTACAAATTATATAGGAATAAATCACAGGTAAATAAGGCTGGTTAATAGCAAAAGGCACTGGTAAAGGTAGAAGCAAAAGTTACTGGACTGGACGGACACAGGTATATATATATATTTGAGCTCTGGTGGGGAAGACGATTAGGAGGGGCGAAATTAAGTAGAAATATCTGGGGGAAATCTCATTTACTGGTTTTGGGCAGATTATTTCCTTACCCTTAATTTCGTTTCCTCACATCTCTCCCCCCCTTCGGGTAGAGGATTTGCTGGGGGATAAAACATTAAAGATATGGTGATGTTCCCCTTTTAGAATTAACCCCATCTCGACGGCCGCTTTTCGGGGAAGACGTAGGAAGCTTCCTGGACCACCTCCAAGACTGACCCCCACGAGTACTCGGCGCTGGTTAGCCTTTGTACGGTGGGCCTGGCTACGGGACCGTCTTTTCTTCTTCCGGATGGACACCGCAGGCTGCTGGAGAAGAGGGCTGGGAGTTGGCACGGTAGACATACCAGGCAGCGGAGTTATTCCCAAGTCCAAACTGGCCAAACGGTTCGCCGCTGTCTCACAGTCCAAGGCCCGGTTGCATACAGCCACCAA